GAGGAGAGGAGGGGGGAGCAGTGGTGACTGGGATGGTTGCACTGGAATGTTGCCTTTTCTGGGGAACTGCCTATCCTCCCTGCCTGTACCAATGAACATCAACTAGAGCATTCTCTGAGGGAGGAAACATATAGGGGAAATCCTCCGGGGGTCGGGAGGCAAGGGTCTTTTTATTTTTATTTTTTATTTATTTTTATTTTTTTTGAATATGGGCCCAGTGCCCAAGGCTTATATTATCAGAGAAAAAAGAGGCCGGGGTCCTCACAGTCTACCCGGAAAAGGAACCACCTGGGAGCGTTACCCAGTTTTGCTTACATAACTGAACCTGCAGGGGCCAACCCCCCGAAAAGTAAAAAATGCAAGAGAACCAAAAGAATAGTAATCATTTTATTCCTAGACCCAGACCAAAGTTAACTGAATCCTATGTCCGAGACCTCTCAGCCCTTAGGCCGTCTGAAAAGGTTGATYTGCTAGCCTGGATGATAGGACTCAGAACTGGAGTACAAGCCTATAGATTCCCGCATCTATGCTATTCCCTTTCAAGCATCCAAAGATAGATCTCTTATGTATTCTCAGTACCACCCTCATATCTATTCTTGCTGGCTCTCATTCCCCTTCCCCCCCATGAAAGGTACGTGAGAAGTCTTTCCTAAGAGGTCTTCCCTCCCCTTCGCCCTCTCCCCCCCTCCCCTTACCCCCACCATGGCACCCTCCTCCCCCGGCCCTCTCCCGGCCAATCCATATGTGCCATCCATCCCCCCTGTTTTCCCCCCGGCCAGTCCACAGCAATGAGGTGTGACCATAATCCAATCCACAACCTCATGGTCGCAGCGATGTACTTTGCAACCCTTAGATGTTCAACGCTTTTCCTTTTTCAATCCAAACATCACTCTGACGGGACAGGTAAAGGATTGTGGGCACGCTGGCATTGAGGGCTCTGCTTGTGTGGTTTTCATGTCTTACAGCTTATCCTCTGGATTTTGGCATAGGGCAATCACTGCTGTCCTACCCACAATCTCTTTCTTTATTATCATGGAAAGGGATGCTGGGCCCACAATCAAGGGGGTACTCTTATCACTCCCTGGACGGTGGCCTGTCCCGTGATGGACTGTGGGCCCACAATCTAAGTGAGGGAGGGGAGAAGGGGGCGGGGGTGGGGGAAAAGAAAAGAGCCCATAGTTACAGCAGGAGCTGGTGAAACAGGAGGTGAGCAATCCGGAAACTCACCCTTTGATAGTGGAACAGCTGTCTTTGCATCAAACCCAAGCAACAGATTAAACATGGGTACAAAGAGACCCCCTCCTCCAACACCACCTACATTCGCCAAAGCAGCACCAATAATCGACAAAAATGATGCGATGATTATCTTCAGACTGGGTTTCAATTCCTGGAACAAAAAAATACAAGCATTTCAAACCAATCATCTTTATCAGTGTAGATCACACCAATTGTGTCCTAGCCACAAAACGGCGCAATCATTGTCAAAACAAAGCACCCAAACTGTGTCCTGTCAGAAGAGATCCCCCCCTCCCAAGCAACACAAGCATTTGCCAAAGCAACACCAATAAGCTACATCAAAAAAAAAAAACAAGACTGTGATATTTGAAATAAGGGATATTGATGGTTATCTGATAACTGTGTTCAAGTTTCTGCATCAACCCACCAACATGGTAAGTCTAGCCGGAGGAGGGTCGAGAGGGATAAATGGATTGGTGCAACCAGGGCCTGGAGGAGATGGAGGTATCAAAACTACTGTTGTGGTGATGATTGGTAGTTCGACTGTTGCCTGCTGATGCCCACGGTCCCAGAGGTTTGCGAACAGATGGGGCCAGAACGACGCTGGTCGGCACTGGGGTTTGGTCGCGCTGCCCTGTAACTCGAGCTGTATGGGGGCAAGAGGCCTGGTAGAGAGAGCTGGGGAGATGTCAAGGGTGGAAGGCACTCTACTGTCTGTTTGCAAGCTAGTACTCACACGACGTTGGTTGGAGCTGGGGTGGGTCGCTTCACCCTGTAGCCCACCAGGTGGGGGATTGTTCTGGCGTGGGTCGCGCCACTCTGTAACCTAGCAGTTGGGGGTATGAGGTCTGGTAGAGACTGGGTATTAAGGATATGGGAGGCTGAGGAAGGTTTCGTTTTGGGCTGCTGAATGTCACCAAGGCAGTTTGGTTCCGGGCTGAAGTCTCCTATGGATAGAAGGCTTGGGTTCTTTTTCTATAGCCCCTCTGAGTCATGATTTTTGCTTGAATTCTTCTGAGAATTTCTAGTATGTGAATTCTTAGCTGAAGCCGGGTAATGGCCCCGGTAACTCATATGTTGTAACATTCTGATGGGACGCTGGGCCCGGTTCCCAGCACGTGCTGCTCCCCACGAATAGACTGGAGCAATTGTCCCAAAAAAAAAGAAAAAAAAAGAAAAAAAAAAAAGAATGGGGGAAAAAAAGGAGACCTCTGCCATTCGGTTTGCCAGAGCTTTCGATAGCATTTCATAGACCATTGTAAGAAGGGTAATGGGTATGTGATTCCTGATATTCGTTTTGTCTCCCTTCTTATGCAGTAGTGATAAGACCCCCTTTCCCACCATTTCACCCATTTCCCAGGCTTCCGGCACTTTCTGGTAGAACTCCCACAAGTCCGCACTCAACTCTGTCCACGTACTTTCCCAGAACTCCTTAGGGAGGCCATCAACGCCAGGTGTCTTCTCTTCCCTCATCTGGAGGAGCGCCGGCCAGATTTCCTCCTTCGTTAGCAGTCTCTCCAGGTGCTTATGCTGCCGTGGTGACAAAGACTTATCCATGCCGGATAGGAATCCTCTCCCATGCCTCCCCTTGCGGGTACGAAATCTGAGATGTGTATAGCTGTTTGAAAAATGTCCTTGTGACTAATGTACAATGTGCAGTGCCTGTTGCTATAACTTCCTCCCATTCCTCCGGGTCGTAAAGTGCTTCAATCACCGTATGGCGTGCACGGGCTGTTGCCATGCTAAAAAACTGTGTATCCATCATAGCTTCTGTTGTAAGCTTGGACATTTTCCCACATATCCTAATGCCTTGCCATCTGTGCTTTGCAACTTGTAGGAGATTGGCTTTCAATCTTTAGATGGTGGTGATGTGATCCTGTGAGTCTGCCCGATGCTAGCAGGTTTTTGTGGGTGCCCATTTCCTGTTGATAGTGTAGAGCTGCCTTTGCCTTCGAAAAATCTTTACACTTCCTTGCGAGAAAGATTAGGCCATTATTAAACCATACTCAATATGAGACGAACAGAGATCTTTGTTAACGCCAGAATTGCCATGTGTCCCATATCATGTGCCGAAATTGTTGGTCTTTCAAATGTGAGGTGTTCAGCTTGTAGTAACCTGGCCCTTGGTCCGACCTCTTCCTCATTGTCAGGATCACTCCACGCATCTTGTGGTCCAGGCCTGGATATGGCCTGCGTGGGAGGATAGTCGACCTTCGAAGGGCACCCTCCAGGTCGTTGGAGAGGAAGATCAGGTCTATCCTAGACTTGGACAGCCGTGCCGGATCACTGTCTCTTATGCAGGTGAAGGTACGATCTTTCGGATGAAAGTGGCGGAAGGTTTAAAAAACGGAGAGGGACTCATAAAGATCAGCAATCATTTGTTTGTCTTCCTCCACAGCAAAGGAGGGGGACTCCTGTGGGTTCCATCTATCCAACCACCTCTCAGGGGCTGCATTCACGTCTCCTGCAATGATCAGTAGGATACCCTCCGGTAGCTGTGTTCCTAGACTCTCCAGGAATGTCCTCCTCTCCCCCATTGTATTGGGGGAATAGATGCACAGGATGCAGATTAGCTCCAGCTCTAGCATTCCAAGCACCGATACCCACCTCCCCTCCCGCTCATCGGCTGCCCAATGAACCACCTGAAATCTAGGGTCGGGGGGTATCCATATTGCGACCCCTGTCGTTCGGGATCTAGGAGTGTGAGCCCCCGTAGGTCAGTATGGCCAGACCATCTTGCGGGCCCTATTGTGTTTTGGTTTGTCCTGCAGGTGGGTCTCCTGGACGCATATCACGTTCGACCATCTCTTCCCCCCCACACCTCTAAGCTGGTCCCAAATGGCCTGGCATTTTTCTGGGTTGATTGTTGCCAGGCCATTAACATTGATGGAGGTCAGGTCTAGGTCCACCGTTCGCACACACTGCCGCCACGCAGGGTTTTTACCGTACAACGTTTCAATGTCATCCATCCCTCTAAGTGTTTTGTTTCACGACTCGGGGAAAGGAGCCATTCACAGGGATTGCCACTTCTTGACATCCCACCTGTCCAAATTCAGAACCTTTTTTTCTAACTATTCTGCACAAGCACCTACACACATCTTCTCTGTCCAAAAGCTACTAGCTTTAACTTGCAGGCACTGTAATTCCAGCAGCGCATTGTGATTATACCAGCGCAGATTAGCTATCTTGTTAAGCTCGAAGAGAAGATAGAGGTCATTTCGTTCCATTTGCTGGCTGCACCCGTCCATCCTCATTGCGGCCCTATCCCTTGGTGCGTAGTGTTTGGGAATGAATTCCCCTGCCTGCTCTGTGAAAATCTTGTCCCTTTCCTTCCCATCCTCGATACGTGACGGGAAATCCCAGCCCTGCAGTGTGACCTCTCCCTTTTCCCCGACCGGGGAGAGCCCAATCTCCCATTTTCCATCAGTTCTTTCGAACTCCTTCCGCCTTTGAAGGGGGAGCTCGAAGAGCCCGTTCGATGAGCTGGCGCAGTTTAAGTCTCCACAAAGTCATACCGTCCTCCGGGGGGTCCTTGCGGCCCTCTTCCTCTCTACGCATGGGCTGGTCATTGGGTGGGGGGGGTTGGTCGGGTTCATTTCGCGGGCACGGACGGTCCTGGGCTAATGGGGGGTGGAAACGGCCGCGGGAAATAGCCAAGATGCGATGAAAAACTTCTGCCCATGCCCAATGTGCCGGAGGACCAGATTTCAGTGCGGTTCTGAATGTCGGGCTGTGATTTAATAGTATTACTAGCTCCACATTCGATGCATCCCAATACTCCTCCCCTCCCGATGTATATTGGGCCTTCAATTGTTTAATTATACAATCTGTAATTGTTTGAATTTTGCGGTCCAGGTCCATTTCTTGTGGGGGTGCGTCTGGATCCTCCTGACCGTCCCCCATTACCACGTCGGGGCGGAGGGCCGGGGGGGAGTGGGCGGGTCTACATCCATTGGTTGAGACCCAAACACATCTGAGCAGAAATTTGAGACCAGCGTTCCCCCCCATGAATCCTCCCCCGACGATTGTTGTGCCTGTTGACCTTGTTGTGCTTGGTGCAGATGTTGCTCCCCTTGCGTTGGCTGCTGTGCTTGTCCTGCTTGCAATGCTTGTCGTGCCCGTTGTCGGGCAGCCCAAGCCTTATGCCACCCTTTACTTCCTTTGAAGAGTCTACAGTTGAGGGTCGTATTTTGCACGGTGGCCCATGCCGATGGTTTTCACCTTGCTGACCGAGCGGACGAGAGACGATTGGCTGGGATGGACGACACGAGAAACACCAAGTCCAGGCGAGACTATGGGAAAATACGGACCAAGGAGGGTGAATTTCCTGAGGCTTGACGGTAACTGGATAATTTATTATTTCAATAAAGACGGGCCATTCTAATGGTAAATTGCAATACACTGAACGGGTGACCCGAACTCACGACCGCCGTTGAATTATGACTACGGGATGCAGATATCTTAAGAGTTGCGTCGGGCCTTCCGTCGAAGTTTGGTGAGTCTCCGAGTGCCACTGTTATGACTCGATTTTTGAGAGAGGTCTCGATGGAAAGCGGCTGACCATAGATAAAGAGCGCCGATGGCGGGAACGCGTGAAACCACGAGAACAAGGAAATTCCATTGAATTGAGTGGTACTTTCAAATTGGCGCGGGAACAGCTTTAATGACGAAGGCCGATTCAAAAATATGGGGATAATATTCGAGGCTCGGGACAGCCTCGGCACCAGGCCGCTGCATTTTCCGACAGCAGGGCCTGCTTCGTGGCACTCGTGCCTGTTTGGTGGATGAATTAGGCTCGAGCATCGGCCCAGAGGGAGCGATGGTACCGGGGCGCTGCAATCCTCTCGACAGCGCGCCCGACCCTTGGTGGTACCGGTGTGTTGGAGGCTGCTGCTGCTGCTGCTACGTTGGGCCCAGCAAAGTACTTAAGCTGAGTTGGGCCCGTTCTTGGGGGGAGGATGGACGAGACAGGCGCACGGTAGGAACGGGCGCACTGGCTAGCCCGCAGGGGGCTAGCTCACGAAGGCTTGGGGCACGAACGGGGAGTTTCAGTGCCGACTCAGCCCACGAAGGGGGCCATTTCCGGAGGGAGTACGAGAGGAACGGGCACACAGGTGTGCACGAGCTCTCTCCCGACCACGCAGCGAAAGGGGATGTCGTGCACCGAAAGGGCACGAACTACGCACGTACTAACGAACCGGTACATTGTACGGGAGAAAAGAACACAGCCAGGTGCATGGTCGGGGGGGAGATCCGTTCAGCGCACAGAAATCCAAACTTGAATCATGCACAAGGGGGGATCTTCCGTCTAAAGCGGGGGCTAATTAGGAGCGCGATCAATCGTCGCACGATCAGTCACTGCAGTGAGGGAATGAGCATCCTAAAGGACTGGCCAAAGGAGCTAACTGAGAGCTCCCTAGGCGACCAATCACGAAGGGAGAACTAATCAAGGCTACTATAAAGAGATCATGTCTACAGCTGGGGGGAAACTGATCCAGAGCTCCCCAGATGACGAGTGGAGGGAAAGCAACAAACGATTAAGGTAAACCAAGAGGGAAGAGCTCTGAATCTCTTTGAAGGAGGAGGGTCAGATCGTCATGTACTGGGTGAGGGCTGAGTATCGACGGCTTCAACGAAGTCTCGGCGAAGTTTTGTTGTCGGCGATCAAGACGAAGCTTCGTTGGTGGTCTGCTGGCGAGGCATCATGCTGTGCGGATTGTGTACAACACCGCTTCTGTTCTTCTTCTTCGAGCGTCCATAGCTTGGGGGCACCGAGCTTGCTGCCATAGCCACGGTAGGAAGACGAAGCAGAAGTGAAGGAACAAGAAGAAGAAGAAGAAGAAGAAGAAGAAGAAGAAGAAGAAGAAGAAGAAGAAGAAGAAGAAGACATGATCTAGCCCGGCGGCGCAGGAGGAAACATGGAGAACGATTGACCATACCCATAATGGGAGGAGGACGAAGGAACAAGTGCGCGAAGTTGGGGAGACCCGCGCGGGGTAGGACGGAGCTAGCACCACGCGAAAGGCGGCGCTAGTGTATACCTGTCTCTTATACACATCTAGATGTGTATAAGAGAAACGTCATGTACTGGGTGAGGGCTGAGTATCGACGGCTTCAACGAAGCCTCGGCGAAGTTTTGTTGTCGGCGATCAAGACGAAGCTTCGTTGGTGGTCTGCTGGCGAGGCATCATGCTGTGCGGATTGTGTACAACACCGCTTCTGTTCTTCTTCTTCGAGCGTCCATAGCTTGGGGGCACGGAGCTAGCACCACGCGAAAGGCGGCGCTAGTGTATACTGGTCGCACTRGCGAAAGCGGGGAGAAATTGCATGCAGCCGTGTGAAGAACGTCATCGCCATCATCATTAGTAGCAGCAGAAGAAGAGCGTGCGCGTGAAAGCGCAGGTGCGGGAGAATCACGAGTAGCCACGTGATCGAAAGATCGACGTTGTCATCTTCACCCGTGTCGGGAGATAGCGCACGTGCGCGCGCAGGTCGAAGGGGATGATCGCTTGCAGCCGCCTGAGCATTGGGATCACCGCCATCGTCATCATCATCATCGTTATCATGGCCGTCAGGAGACAGCCCCTGTACGTGCGCAGTTCGGGATGGCGAATCACTCGTAGCTGCGTCATCATCAAGCTCATCAACGTCATAGCCATTCCCGTTGTTTGGAGGTAGCTCGCACGCGCGCAAGGAGCCGTTCGGTTTCATCATCATCGTCATCGACATCTGCAGGTAAATGCTCGTACAGTCGCGCGCAATCAGTTTCTTCGTCATCTTTATCATCATTCGGCGGAAAATAGTGCGGACAGACACGCGAAAGCCAATCGGGGTCATCACCGTCATCATCATCAAATTGGCGGCAAAAGGCCGTACAGCAGCGCGCGGATCATCTTGATCGTCAGGATCTTCGCATAACATCCAGATCATCGCAATCATATGGATTGCAATTGAAACCCGAGCTATGATCAAGGTCTGAAACGGGGCAAGGGGAATCTGATCGTTTAACCAACGAACTTCGTGCGGGAACGAGCCGCACATGGTTGGGGAACTACAAACGAGCGGGAAGATGGCTGCGCGGACCGATCCTAGCTGCGGGCGAACAGAAACAAGCCGCACACGGGATAGGGGGGGGGGCAGATCTGAGCTCGAGAGAGCGCAAGAGCACGCGTGCCTGCACGCGCGCGCGCACAAGAGAGAGAGACAGAGAGAGAGAGAGAGAGAGGAGCCGACGAACCGTTGCGACGGTCTCAGCAAATGTTGACTCGATGTGTTTTCTGCCCAGTGCTCAGAATGCCAAAGTGGAGAGATTCAACCAAACGCGGGTAAACGGCGGGAGTAACTACGACTCTCTCAAGGTAACCAAATGCTTCGTCAAACGCGCACGAATGGATTAACGAGATTCCCACTGTCCTATCCGCCAACTCACGAAAACTCAGTTGAGGGGAACGTGCTTTGACGAACCGACAGGGAAAGAAGCCAACATCTACTTAGTGACGCGCAAGCTTGGAATTAGGAGATTCCCACTGCTTTTTACCACCCCGCAAAAACACAGCGAAGGAAAACGGGTTGGGAAGGAAAAGCGGGACCGCGAGCGCCAGCGGGAAAAGGAGTGCCTGATCGGCATCTGGCCAACCGTGCTCGCTGATGGGGGCGCGGACGAACCTGGCTACGCGCATTCAACAGACCAGATCAGATCCGATTAGGCCAAACCAGACAGGATCAGATCAGACCAGATTCGGATTTAGGCCAGATCAGACCAGATCCGGATCAGGCCAGACCAGACCGGACCAGATCCGGACCAGATCAAATCAGACTAGACCGGATCAGATCCGGACCAGATCAGATCAGACCAGATCGGACCAGATCTGGACTAGATCAGATCCGACCAGATCAGACCAGACCAGATCAAACCGGACCAGACCAGACCAGGCCTGACCAGATCAACACGAGTCCCTTGGGGCTGACAGGAGCGGTACCGACGACACCCCATGGGACGCAAGACCCAGCGAAGAACGTCGACAAGATCAGTCTCAACACAAACTGAACACTTAGGCTGGCGCGAGGGAGGTTGCTCTGGGATAGGATGTAGCGCGTCTGCGCCTATCATTATTGACTGAATAAAACGACTTTTTGTTTCTTTCTACGTTTTTGCGCGTCGTCCTGTTCGCACCTTGTGTTTACATCTGACTTAGTGGTGGATTTTGCAGGTTACAGGAGCCTGGAACTAGCCCTCCCGCGGGTGACACATATCACTTCTATCGGTCGACAGTGGCGTCGTTGCAGGGGAAGGCTGCCTCTCGGGACTTTGGTCCGCCTGTAACCGCACGGGCTTGGAGGATTGGAGTTGATCGTTTTGAGACTCACGCCTGAGAATTACTCGGTGTGTGCAGGTGCGGCGCAGGCGCGAGTGAACGGACAGCGAAAGCCGACCCATTACGACGTACCCGGTGAAAGGTTGATTTTTGCATTTCCATGGATTCATGGTTTGTTGATCTTCGCATTTGCACGGATTCATATGCTTCTTCCTGCATGTTTGCGATTGAGAAAGTTGAGTTTTTATCTTCACACCCTTTGGTCAGTCCACCCTGATTTAAATTCCAAGAGAGAAAAAAGTAAGCAGGGGAAGAATTGGAAGGACTGAAGAGGAGGGGAGAAGGGCCCCAGATTGCAAGGAGCTGGGAGGGAACTAGATAGGTTAGTTGATTGTGATGGATAGATGGGGGGTTTGAGCCGCAACACATGTCGCGATGAGACCATGTCTGAGGGGGGTCGAGTAGAGGCATGGTGATAGAGTAAGGACGCACGAGCAAGACACTGCCACTTCGTTCGCGTGTGACTTCGGTCCACCCTGAGACACATGAGTTGGTCAGCTCGTGTCCAGGTCACAGCAGAGATGGCAGGCCAACAATGATGGTACGTTGGACTATCCTCCTTCTCGACATGAGGGTAGGAAGAGATACGCCAGAGGGCGGTTCTTTCCTAGGCCTGTTGACGTCTTGAGGGGTTATAGAAGCGTTCGACGGGGGCCTGTCGTGTAGGTCTATGAACTCACCAGTCGAGAGTGGGTTCCACACCGTCTTAGAGAATGTCGTAACTATCTTTTCGTTGATTAGTTGGATCGACCGATGATATGGATGGGGTATTGATGGAAACAGGGAGTACTTATCATATGGTGTCAGTTCAAGGAAAAAAATACTACAGAAAAGGGGAACGACCCTGAGAGGAAATATGAGGATGGAGACTTCTGATGAAGGACGAAAGGCAAAGATAAGAGTAAGATAGAAGAGGAGGGACATCGAGATTCCAAGGAGAGAATCCTCGAACAAGATGTTTTATGATCCATATGGACACATCCATATCCGATGATGTGTGTGCAACCATGTAGACCCCCTTATCATCCTCCTCCATTCTTCGGGTCACCCTTATACTTTACAGGGCATCGGGTAACAAAATTCCTTGATAACTGAGAAGTTTACGCCTTGAAAGCAGAATTCACTGAGAGGGAGGCGATAACTGGGTTCATTAATCATACGGATCCCAAACTCGACCAAGATGTGTATGCCACTATACTCGAAGATGGTAAGTGGGCTACTCCAGAGAACGATTGTCTCGGGCCTTTGCTTGTGACGATATCATGTACTCAATCTAGGACTTAAAGGAGATGAAGAAACAGGAAGGAGAGACTCTAATAGCATTTGCTAGACGCTTTGAGAAGGCGTTCGAACCGTTGGTAAAAAATGGGTTTCTCGGTTAGTTACAACGATGCATTATATTCTTAGGGACTCTACCTATCGAAAGAAGAGAGTTTGTTGTGAGAAACATGCCCACTAAAAAGTTGTCGTTCTCTCAGACAAAGGCATTGGCTTTGCAGACTGAGGGACCGGATGTCAGAGCTTATCTACTTGGTGCATTGAAGAAACTAGGAAAAGGAGTGCCCAGAAGTCAATTAGAAAAACAATTCGATGATGAGGATGGAGGAGAGTTCAAACCGCCTAACAAAAGTAAAGTAAGTAGAAATAGTGGAGAACGAAAATGAGAAAGAATGGCGCGGTGACTGGAAGAAGAATGGCGGTAAGTGGGGAGACGCTCGAGATCAGCATTGGAGATGTAGAGAAGAAGAGGAAGATCGAAGAAGATCAAATGAGAAAGAATGGGAAGCGTTCGAGGAGATTAAGGCTTTAAGGGATGAACTAGAGAGAATGAAGAGAATGAAAAACCCCTCGCCTCGAAGTAGCGCAAAGTTGTTGAAGGTTCCTTTACAACAAGAGTCTCGGGACAAACGAGAAAAAAATCTTGAGGAAACCGTCGAGCTCAATAAGAGGAGAGCGATGGAATGGGAAAGTGATGAGAAAAACCTACCCTGCCAACCTTCAACAGATACGAACATTGACACTAAAGCGAGAGCAACACAAAAGACAAAGCAGGGGGAGATTTTGGTGTCGAGTATCCGATTTGAGGAGGACCTGGATGCAAATGATAGTATGACGATTGGGTTTTCACGCATTCGGTTCAAGAGTAGTGAGGAAGATTCTTATGCAACTTCAGTTTGTGCTGAGGAAGCGGGTGGAGAATCGAGTAAAGATAGGACCAATGATATTAGCCTCGACATTGATGTCTCGCCGAAGGGCGAAGAACCAAAGGTTATTAAAGAGATATTAGTAGAACGAGTCATGACAACAAAGATGATAGCAATAGATGAAGAGTGCGAAGACTTGAAAGATATTAAAGAGACCCGAGACAAGTTGAAAAAGGATCAAGATGAGAAGGGTCCACTCGGCGGTGTTGTAGACGTCGAAATGTCATAAATATTCGAAGTCATGTATGAGCCGGACGATAACTATGAGCTTGCTTAACTGTTTGAGACTATTGAGTCGAACAACAGCTATGAGCTTGCTCAACTGTTTGAGACCTTCGAACTGGACGACAACTATGACGTTGCCCAACTGTTCGAGAACATCGATACATCCGAAAACGATATTGGGAATAGTCATAAGACAACTGCGAGCCAAAATCTAATAACTACGAAAGATATTGGAGACTTCATAATGGATCAATGAACGACGATGAGTTTGAAGAAGAACTAGATAAGAGTCTTTTGGAATGTCAAAAATATGGGAATCGACACCTGTCTAACCAAGAAGGCGGAGGAAAGGTTATTGTGGAAGTTAAGTTTATCGAGGATGCTGACCATCTTAGAAGCACATCAATGGGATTTGAAGAATTGTCAGAACTCAAGGAGAGACTTCGAGTGAAGGGATCAGTTATTGACGTAAGGAAATCCGAAGACAATGATTCGGTCAAGACTGGAAATTGGGTCGCAGGATTGCAACTTGGGATAAGAGTGCGAGGCTAGAATATAGACTTGTGTCTACCTTTTCTCTCCCTGGTCAACCTTGTATCAGCGTATGCTCGTATTTTTCGATGTTGGTGCTGCTGCTGCAGCTTTAAATTTGGCCTGTTACTTTGCGTAACTAATTGCCTCATTATGTTTGACCTCTGTGGTGGTACGAGGGGTGAAAGATGCTCTTTAGTAAAGATAGAGATCCATCCGAACATGTCGTGCGGCGAAGTTTCTACAAAGTTTTTTCTTATTCCCTGGGTAGCCTCATTGATTAGTTGGAGAAGAAAGGGGAAGAGGACAAGAACGCTCGTGAACGGGAGAGGTAAAACTCGGAAGTTTAAAAGCCTGATGTTGGAAGAAGAGGGTACTTTAGCACTTATCAAACTGATTCAATTAACTAAGCATAAAAAGGTCCTAGTGTGAGTATGCCCTGGGGCCAGGACCGTCTAGCGTCATATTATACCGTGTACGTACGGTTTTCAAGCACGTGTGACATAGTTGGATTGCTACACGCCATCAATTGAGGAGAAATCGTGCGGCATTCTGAGTTTTGAACAGATTCAAAAAAAGGGAAAAAGTTTTGGTTGTGTACCCTAGGCACTTTCACCATTTGTTCCTTTTTCATTTATTTTAAAATCTTTGTAGCAGCATTGTGTTTTCCATACTTTTTTTTTGGGGGGGGGGCAATATTGTGACCTTGCTACAAGGCTTCACGTGCACAAAAATGCCAAAAAAAAAAACAAAGTCG